TGCATCTCAAGAAGTCAAAATTCCTAAGCAGCATGACCAGCATTCTCCATCAATGAGGAATTTCTCTTGGTACTAATTTTTCTCTGTTATTACTCATACTTTAGAGATCAGAAAAGACTCCCATACCTACAAGCAAGCACTGCAGACCAGTGAGCAAGTAATCCCACTCTAAACTGTAAGGAGAGAGGGAGCACGCAAAGAAATGGGGGAACCTGAACAGCCTCAGGTGACGAGGCCAGCCCTCAGGGTGCCATGGGGGTGCATTGGCAGGTACAGATTAACAAGGATGGGCTCATTCTTCTCAGCTTATGCCTCTCCTCCCTATCTGTGGATGAACTGACATGGGAAAATGTTATACTTGCAAACACTTCTGCAAAGGGCTTCAGCTGTCAGACAGTGTACCACCCTTGCCTCACCTGGGGGCTTATTGGCTTTGGGCTTGTTTGTTTCAGAGCGAGGTCAGTAAGTCAGCAGCTGACAGCCTGTTGCTTTTATTTTTCTTCTTAACGCTGCAAATCACATTCACTAATCACAGAAGGACTTTGTCAGCCTTACTGAAAAGACATGACTGTGGAACAAGGGTTATGCTTGTAGACAGCCCTTACAATACAATTCCCAGGTGGTTTGCCTTCATTTGAAAACAAGTGCAACTCCTGGGGCCAGGATTTGGGTTTCCATTGCAGGATGCCTTCCAGCAATGGGGCATGGGGGTTTAGCCAAGGGTAGCAGGAGGTGCCTGGTAGGGAATTCAGACGGAGAGCTGGGCAGAGGCTCTCACCCACTGAATCCCAGCACTAAGCTGTGCAAGAAAGACAGAGGCAGAGGCAAAGCATGGAACTGCTTAGATTGTAACTAAGGCAGATTCTCTCCTCCCACAGAGGCTGCTGCTCTGAGGGAGAGATTTCAGGGCATAGCAGACCTGGAAGCCCAATTTATACAGAAGCAGATTCATTTAATAATTACCCAAAGAGAAACAAGCTACTCTTCTGGCTACCAGGCTGCAAACCAAATTAAAAGTTGATCCATACAATCCATCCACACAATGCCATTCTCTTTTTTTTTATCTGCATCAGGCCCAGAGGAAAAGAAAAATCATTAATGCTCTGATTTCATATGCCATTAACTTTCTGGATGATATTAGAAACAAAGAATTACTTTATCATTTTAAGCATTATTTATACTGTTTTGGGACAAGAAACATGACTGGGCAGCAATGCCATTGTACAGGCTCTCTTCATAGATGATTCCTAAGGAATAGTTTCACCAAAGGATGAAAAGAGGAGAAAAGTATCTACGTAATATCAAATTTTGCCCACAGCTCTCTAAGCCATCTACCTATGGGCAGCCTGGGAGTTCTCAGACTGCTTTTCAGTCAACTCCTAAGCACTGCTAATCTCTGCTGCTGTCTCAGCAGCCAGGTCCTTTGGAGCCTTAGAGAGGGGGTGGATACTCCAGGGATGCTATGCCAGACTCTGCTGAGCTTTCTAGAGGGGGTGGGAACACTTTCTGGCCCATGAGAGTAATCCCATGCATGAATTCATAAGTCCCTGTAGCTGGATTTGCCTAGTGAACAGCAGCTGCTTCAATTTTCTTCTCAAGAAAGAGTTAGCCCCTGGATAATGGAGTACAGAACCTTAAAATGGGAATTGGTTGCACCAAGCATGTACCAAGAGGGAAAAGACAGTAAAGACAGAACTCTGGGTGCAGCCTTCTGTGGTTTTTGCCAGTGGGGCACTGTGCAAGGCAGTCTGTGTTCTTCACGCCTCAAGCAAGCACCACTGGGAGCTAGTGCCATCTGTGTCTCTCCTCCATCACAAGGGGCATTGCTGCAGCTCTCAGCTCTACTGATCCAAAATAGGAGTACCTTGGATAAGCAAAACAACTGCATGAAGAATCAGATCCCTGCAGCTGAGGGAGAGTGTCAGGTTCTCATCTGAGAAAGACAAGGGTCTAGAAGGCTCATAGAAAATACATGATGGCTCTTATTTAGCAATTTCACAAAGTTCTCAGTTGCAGAAAGGAAGGGACAGCAACACAGCTTTCTCCAGCATGTTTGTAGATCTTCAAACGTAAGGAAGGAATGACTCTTGCTGCAGTGGCATGGAAATACTTCTCTAGCTTGGCTCTTTCTGAATCTGTAATAATGGTAAGGAGGCCTGAATCATATTTGATTTTTCGGCTCTTTATCAACATTTTTATCTTTTGTTAGCCATGCCAAATGCTGGCTGATCTCATTAGATAATACAGGCTAAGGAATATGTCATCAGGAAGAATGTTCTGCCAAAATAAACCTACCTTGGTGATTTAATATGTCAAATGTAACTTTTCAGCCAGAAAAGTATGATGTTTATGTCTCCTGGGAGCAGATTACTTGTTTTTTTCCCTGTGAATGAGGCCTGGCACCATGGGCTATGGTGGGGCTCTTACACATCAAGACAATTAACAATACTTGTCTCATCATGTCCTGGCACTTAGAGACACACCAGAGAGGAGACAGAGCTGACATACCCACAGCTCTCTGAGTCTTGTGACACCACTGCCACATTTGCCTCCACTATCCCAGGGAATAAATTGAAGATCTCATCAGTTCCCATATCCTGTTTATGCAAATCTTCAGTCCTTGTCTGTACCTCCAGAAAGGTTGCCACATAATTTCCTCAGTTCCTTCCCTGATTTTGAGGCATCATTGCTGACACACTTCTAATGAGCTGCCATGTATCATATATTCCTCACACACAATCAAAATCTTGTATTTTTATACCTGTGGAACCATCAAATTCCTGTAGTCTCACTTTTTAAGTTGAGCAAACCCGTTTCCACCTAGCAACTGAACACAGAGAATTTGAAGCTGAGCCATTTTTAAATTCCATTGTTATGAACAATTATAACTGATGTGATGTTGCACTTGCTGCTGTTCCAGTTGAGAGTCCCAGTGCAGTTGCTTCTTTTTACCAAGCCTGAAACTTGACAGTGAGGTTATTGCTCATCCAAGTGGGTGACTAACAGCAACAGCTTTAGCAAGGAAGGCACAGTGTACATAAGGAGCTGTGGAAGCTTCCCCCACAGTCTGAACACCTCAGCTGTGACCTGTTATGCTCACATAATTTCAGTTCTGATCTCTGTGCAAAGACTATCAAATTGTGCAGTAGCTCGGTGCTGTGAATAGGGACGGATGGAGGGAGGGAGGAAAGGAGGAGAGGGAAGCAAACAGCAACTAATTCATGACGGAAGGAGCCTGAAATGTTGGGAAAAGCTGATCCTTTCAAGGTACTTAAGTCAACATCTAGTGAAAGCTGAGAATTCCTCTGGGTATCCAGAAGGATTTGCTTAAGTCCTATTATAAGAAAGATTGCATATGATTATAAATCCTCAAGTGTCTTCCCTTCACCTACTCTATTTTCATTCATGACCTGATTAGGGTTTGAATCCAGATCTCCTTAAGTGAATAAAGCTCCAAAGACCCAGTTTACATAAAGACAGTGAATTTTTTCTAGAAATACATGGCAAAAGCATCTGGACTTTGAAGATGACAAGTCCTTACACTTGAATCTTTCCTTAAAGGAGCCAGAACACTAAAAGAAACAAAGAATCGTCCAAAATGTAGCCATGACAGACTAGCACTGTGGGTCACCTCACTTATGCACCTTTTCGACCATAAATAATGCATAGATGGCAGTCTCATTTACATTGCAGCCATGGCTTGCATCTATGTAGAGAGCACAGGATGACACCGGTAACCTGCATGACCTGAGGTATTTTCTGTACCAGGGAAGAGTCCTTTCCTCAAGATAGCTCCAAACAACACAAGCAACCTGCACTTAATCACACATTTGCAATACTTAAGGCAAAACTACACGATGATCTGCCTGTACTTGTTTCCAGGAAAGGGAGAAAAAGGAGAGAGATGGCTATCGACCTGGCCTAAAAATTTACATGTGTATAGGCTTGTCAAGAAAGTTAGTGTGTGAAAGGAGTTAGGACAGAACGTCCCTTTGTTCAGCCTAAATGTCCCTTTGTTTGCTGAGAACCAAGGCAGGGGAATCAATGGCTTGAGAACCCAAATCTGTCTGATTGAAGATACCTCTCCCTGGCCAAAAGTTTCCATTGGGGTTGAAAAGGGAGAAACAAATGGGATTTTGTATGCTCTTTTATAAATCCTTACACAGCTCCAAACCACCTTTTCTCACCACTTTTTTTCTCAGCAAGCAACCCATAATCTAGCTCAATAGTAATGTCACCTCTATTTGTCTTCCATAAACTGCACTGCAAAAACGTACCTGCAGAATGAGCTTGGCCTTCCCTTGTCTGCAGACAAGGGGAAGATGTGAGTGATGCAAAAATCAGCTGCAGTAGAAACCTGTGAGAAAGGAGACCCTTCCCTGTGCTAACCTGCTGGACACACATCAACCCAAGGGTTTAGGAAAGCCTGGGTAACAGGTGCAGAATACAGACACCACTTGTGGATGACAAGCTGCTAGAACACAGCATACACTGCCTGCCAAAATGAAAAACCCTGCTGAGATAGCCGTACATTTGCTCAGGACCCTGTGCTTAATTTTCAGGATGATTAGGATTTGTCCAAAGCCAAAATGGATATAAATAGCAACTGAAACCTGCAGGTATCTTTCCTTCATTACTTGGGCCATGAACTTTTTGTCAAAAGAGACTCTTTGTGATACTAACAAGCCATGTCTGCTCAATCACAGCATATCAGCGCTGACTCATTTGCTTTGCCAGCTGCAAAGGGGTTTTAAATGCTAGGGAGAGCTGGTCTTTTGTATTCTGACAGCTCCTTACTGCTGCTCTATACGAATACCTTTCAAATGAAGAGCCTGGAATATATGCAAAAAAAAAAAAAAAAAAAAAAAAAGATATGCGAGTTGCTTCACAGTGTTTAGGGCTCCCCTGGAGCTTAATTATGTGGGAACTGTGACATGTAGTCTGTCAGCTAAAAGGTGGCAGATCCCTGTGGCACGGTTTGAGAGGTGTGTTGTGAAACATTACCCATTTGCTCTTGCCCTACAGGTAACTGTATGGCATGCCCTGTGCAAAGCACAAGTTCCCACAGCTGTGTGTGGGTTCTTCACGTTTCTCACCTGTGGTGTCCATGGCAGTGAGCTCCTAGATCCAGCTTCCAGCATCCCCGGGCACACTGCAGTTTGATCCTACATTTAGATGAGTAGCACATAAATATACACGTCTTCACCAAATAAAAAAAACAATCCTCACCCATGTAAATTTTCTGCTGGTCTATAACTCTAAACCACAAGCAGGGCTTGCACTATATAACCTTATAAATTTTTGGTCTCTAAGTCAAGGCTATAACTGTGGGAAATTAATTGTCCCCTAGGAATGTGATAAACAGCTCTTTGGCATAATTCTGAAATGAAGAAGCACAGAGATCACATCCCAGGATATATTTTCAAATGTCTAGCAACATTTCCCTTGGTTTCATTTTTTAAATCATAAGTACTGGAATCATTAATTTCTAAGGCTCTCTCTTATATTGGTGCCTAGCTGCCATAAAAACAAAAAAAAAGTAAACTACAAAAAAATTTCCATCCCAGCTTATATTTTCCATTTGCAAACATTTACTCCATTCTCCAAATTAACAAGGAACAGCTTCTTCTACTACATGCAGGAGGTGCTTTCATAAACTTGTCACATCCTGATGTTAGTAGCATATGGTATTGAAAATATTCCTACTACTTGAAGGGAGAGCTGTTACAAATACTTCAAGCAACAGTTTGTTAATTTTGGATGCAATCCTACAGTGCACCAATATTTTTCTCATCCTTTTAAACCTAACCATATAATGAAGATACCCCTCCAAATTTCAAAAGAAACAAGTTAGACCATAGATTTTTTGGGGGCCCTTAGGAGAACATTTCCTTTCAAACACCAATGTGTATGAGACAGAGTGTTTCTTTCTTCCTCATTTTACAAACTAGACGTGCAAATTCTCTTTTTTCCCTTTCTTCTTTTTTTATTTTTTTGTGCTACCATGAAATATGGGAATAACTGTGCTCTACATGAGGAAAAGCAAGGCTGCCTTGCTTTACAGCTCGAGGAATATAGGCTGTGCCTTACAGACCCTAGATATACCTCTTGCTCTGGCTGCCTAGTAAATTGAAATATGACAGTACAAAAAAGAACAGATGATAAACTGGAGTGTTACGAATAAGGCCAGAAGGCAAGACTTCTCAGAGATATAATATGGAAGTGGCATCAAAAGATAGAACTGGGCAAAGGATAACATCATTAGTCCTCCAGATATACTGAGCAGCAATATATGTCAGATGGGGTCAAAGAGGGGCAGGATCACAGCCCTGGGGGAATACATGGACTTAAATAGTTGTCTTCCATGAACAAAATTATTCCTTATCTGCTGCCTTGAAACAATGCTGTGTCTCTCAGCAGTGTAATTCCACCCCAGCTCCCTTTTCCCAGAATATGACTGAACTGCCACTGGGAAATGGCTCAGCTATTGGCATTCAGCTAGTTGTCTAGGGGGCTGGGGGTAGGTAGAGAAAATAACTAGGTGGGTTTATGGTATCTAATACAGCGGTTTATCAGGTCCTTCTGTAGCTGCCTTCCCTTCTCCCACCTTCTAGATGATGAATGTGTTTCCACTGATTCCTTCACCATGACCATTTTTCCTGCCTTTTTCAGTGCTCATGTAGCCACAGCTTCTTACTGTAACAGCTGATCACTGCCTGGTCTCTGCCTGCTTATTTTTGCCATGTATCTCAGAAAGGTGATCTTTCATAATTGACAGGAGGGGAGCTCAAGTGCAGAAGAACTCATCTCTAGTTACACAGGCAATTTGTGGCTAAGCAGGTAGTTGATGAGGATTTCCAAGATTAAGGTGACTTCCTAATCTACTGGCTATAAATCTTAAGCCATTCTTTGTTAGCAGTGAAAGTTTCAGGAATTTCAAATTGACCCTTATGCCATTATTTTTCCATAATATATGCTATACTGCAACAGTCTTCTTTACCTTCCTTCCCCTGAAATAATAAGATTTTTCTCACTGGGGCCAAGTCCACAGACATCTACTTAATCCAATTTGACTTTTAAATCCTCGTGAATAACAACACAGACAAGAAGGAAAAGAGGAATGCTCAGTTTGCTCTGAAAGTTATTTACAACACAGCAGCAGCTAAAAAATACGGTAATGGCAGAAAAAACAAACCAGGATGTGTTCTCTTGGAAAGCCTCAGACTGAAAAATTAAGGCAGAGCAGGTCAATTGAGAGATGCATACGTTAAGCACATTTCCTATCTTGCCTTAATAATGTTGTATTCTGAATGCAGTAGCACACATTGCTTCCAGCCTTTAACTATCCAGTCAAACATGACCATTAAGCATATTCAGGAGAAAATACAAATATGAGAAGTATACCATGACATCATGTAGAAAAAACACACAAGAAAAACAGAGGGTAACAAAGGCAGAAATATGCTGCATAAAACACAGTTGATACAACACAGATTTCAGAGAGGTGAGAGAACTGCTTTAAGCAATAACTAAAAGAAAAAAAATCACCCAAACAACTCCTTCCTCCTTATGCTGCCAGATTTATGGTTTCTGCTATTGAAATCTAAGGCAGTCAGAATAACCAAATTTTGATGCTTCCTTAGATCTAGCTAGACCAGATGTAATGTAGCTCTCAAATGAAAGATCTACCAGGGAACAACAAATACACAAAGCTGATTGTTAACAAAGTCCTTTGCAGGGCAAGTTGACCTGGTACATCATTGTGAAAAGAAACAAAGCAGTGGAAATACTAACATAACTTGTATTCAAAGAGAATAGTGTGCTCAAGGATACCACATGAACTTGGGATAGAATTATAACAATCTTTCTATCTCCATTTTTGTTCCTTAAACTTTGTATTTGGCTTTATTTTTTTTGGCACTGATGGCGTTATCTTTTGTCCACAAATTTCACTTAAGAAGAATCACACATTTTAGATTTTAGCCCCTGACTGAGAAAATAACTTTTTATAGTCATGCTATTTAGCATCAGTTTTAGTTGTATGGCATCATTAAAAGAGTATTTTTGAAACAGGCTGTATCTAATGTAAACATTAACCAAGCAGTGAAAATAGAAGCTTAAAATTTAGTTTAAAAGACACAAACAAGTAGGAAAACAAAAGACTAGTTAATACTTCACACTCAGACATCTAAGGATAATACCCTGAAATAAAGGTTGAACTTGGATATATAGACATTATCATTAGAGCAATCTTAACCCCAGTTTCCATGAGTAGTGGGGAGCCTCAGAAAACTCCAGAGGTTGCTCTTTCTAAGCTACAAGGTAAGTAAAAGCTACAAAAGTGACAAAACAGAGATTTCCCAAGGCCATCTTTCCTATTTTCTCAGCCTCTCTTGGCTGTATTAATCATGTCAGTTAGGATAAATTTCCTACTTCCACCGTATCAATCATTTTGAGTTACCTGAACAAAGTGCAGAGCAGCTAGAGAACGCTATGTCAATGTGCATACTTGACTAAAAATAAAGTGCTTCCACAGGAGGAATGATAGGATTTTGGAAAACTGGTAAAAGCTATGCCAAAACTAAAAAAGCAGAGTATTAAACACAGATTACCTGGGCACCCACTCTAAAAGCAGCTTCCACTTGAGCTTTGAGGATGTTGCACTTCAAATGGTCAGGTACAGATGAAGGTGACACAGGGGCATGAAGAGTCTTTTCTGGTACTTTCTTGTCTTCAGCCTGTATTTATTAAAAAAGCAGTGACATACATTAAACAAATAAGTTCATAAAATTATCAAAGGTTAAATTTTTTACTTGTAATAACTTGATTCAGTAATACTGGCTAAAACTTCCATATTCATACCCTGATATATACATCTTAGAAATTTTCAAAATATTTAATGACTTGATACTATGTTCAAGATAAGAATAGACCCAGGGAAGCCTGAGTAATAGAAGCAAGAAAATGATGAGGAATGAAGATACATTAAAAAAGCCCAGCCAGGCCCTGGAGTGGTTGCTCAAACCTGTGAGCACACTGAGGAAACAAAACATTTTCTCAAAATATCCCATAGAAGGCAGAAGAGCAAACAGTACAACTATAGTGAACACTGGCTTTTCATACCACTCTTAAAATGCAAAGCTTTGCAAGTTTAACCAGAGAAATATGAAGGAATTTCCACTTAATTGCAAGCCAAGCAAAATCTCCTTCATCAGAAGGAGAAGAAAAATCAAGGAATTTTAAACATTGCTGATGCTCTTTCCATTTGATATCAATCCTTTACCTAGGCAGTGATCTGAATCAGAAATTTTGGCCTCAGGACAGCTAGTGTAGTGCCTTGGCTAAACATGACCTAAAGGTTTTGTGTCTTAAACAAACTATATCCAGCAGAAATGCCACATTAATAAACTTCCCATGAAGAAAAATAAAATAAAAAGAAAGACAATATATTACTAATGTATCAACAAAGAGAGTATGATGAGACCAGGATTGTAAACATGAACTCTTTAACAATCAAACTGTAATATGTCACATATTTTTAGAGAATAATTGGGCAATGGCATAACAGCCATTGCAAACTTCCCTATTCTTCCTGGAAGTTGACACCTGAATTAGAGATGAGTAACAGCCTAGACTGTGCCTTCATATTCTGCTTTCATGGTTGAGAAGGGTGAGTGGTTGTATATACCCAGACAAAACATGTAATGCTGTCGTTCAGATTTCAGCCATTCAGGTACAATGCATCAGTAGACCAGGTCCAGTGATCCTTGAGATTCACCTCTGCCAAGTATTTCAAGACAGAACCAAACAGGTTTTTTTTGCGTTGAAATTACAATATGATTAGCCCTTTAAATACAAAATCTGCCTCCTTTATCCTTCCTTCTGCCCTCCCCCATGGCATCCCACTGGCTGATGGCAACTACAGTCTTACTGACTCTCAGGTCCTTGAGCAAGCACAGACAAATGGGAATATCAGGATTCAGGGGACATTTTCTGCAAGTGGAGCAAGTCACTAAAGTAATTGTGTTGCCTGAGGAAACTGTTCAGCAAACACTGGGGAGGGAGAGAGCTAGACCTTAGCAGAACTCTGTTGAGACTGCAATCTATGGTAAGCAAAGTTGGTCTTTGCATCCAGCCTTCTGCATCCAAAATGCCATAGCTGCCAGGTATGATTTTGAACAACTATCTGTTAAAGGACTGCTTGTCATGAGATTTTTTTCTCTGCCAAATTTCTAATAATTCTTACATGTTTATTTGTCAAGCTACATTTACTATTTTAGAGGAAGATATATTTGGACTTCCCATTCTCCCCAGTCTCCTCCTAAGGGAAAAATAAAATACATAAAATGAAAAGTGACAATGTCTAGCTGGAGCAACTTATGGAACTGTAGTAATCTATTCAGTCTTGAATATAACAGTAGTTTGGCAAGTATATTAAAAAAAAAACAAACCACAAACCTAAACATGAAATATCTGATTGCCATAGGTGTCTTTCCTAGGATACTCATGAAGCTGAGAAGTGGAGATAATCAAAAGGACAAAATTATTTGTAAAGAAAGCGCAGCTTTTACTTCACTGATATTCTTAGTAGACAAAGTGAACACATTTTTAAAAGGCTGTTAATACTGCCAACTTTCATGTGTATTGATTTCTAACACCAGAAAAAACAACACATTAAGAAGTGGCATTTCTAAAGGCCATGCAAAATCCCACCTTTAACACTGTACACTAATTAAATAACATTTCAGTCAAGCAAGATTAAACAACTGTATTTTACTTGCTATAGCAAGACAATCAAGGCTTGTTTAGAAGACAAGCTTGATTCATAACAAGAAATGTTTCCAAGTCCCATCCAACTGTTATTCAGATGGATTTTTTTAAGTCCTATTGTTCTTCCTCTACTGCCCAATTTTCCCACGTTGACCAAGAGGAAGATAAAAGCTCCCAGGGCTGCCCTATAGCTGGACATCCTCAAAAGATCTTAATCTCCTACTGTATTCAGTATTGTGCAGATGATTCCATTTAATGGATCCTCAGTGTGAGATCTGATGTGCAAGTCTCACATTGAGATTCCTGAGATCTTGTCCAAATACTGATGGTGGCTGACCTGGCTGAAAGAAAAAAACTGCTGCTAGAAGGTGCACACTTCTCAGAAGCCAGTCCTGGGTATTCAGTTCTGCTTTAGTCCTTGTTTGGGTCACACTTTAAGGGTTTCACCTTCAAGCAAGCAAAACTTGCTTTGCTTGCAGTGCACCAGGAGCAGCAGCACCTTTAGTGACTGGTCACACATGAAGAGCAGACACTGCTGCAATTGCTGCTCAGCCTCGTCCTGCCCAGCAGCTGCTGAGGCAGCAGCCAAAGGCCACCATGTCCCCCTGCCCCAGTGGAAATGCTGCCTGCACACAAACCACACACTGGGCTTGGGAGTGCTCAGCCTGACCCAGAACCTCCTTCAGCTTCTGAGTACGTGTCAGAGCCCTCTCTGCCAGCCTGCCTTGGCAGTGACAGCCTTCTCTGCCACAGAGCACCACATCCTGAATCATTGCTGAAATCTGCTCTCCCACAGCTGATTAGCTGAGACTATTACACACAGAGTCAGTGGCACTGAGGATCCAGATGAAATGTAAACTTTAATCACAGCACAAAAGCAGTGCCTCCTTGTTGCAGACTATTAGCTCTTCTAAGCATCTGTAAATTCCTATTTTTCCTTAATGTCACTAATCTTTACATACAGCTCCTTCATCCCTCAATTTCACTCCAGAGTATAACTGTCATCAAGAATGCAAAAGAAAATAAAATATTTCACGGCTGCAAAAGCACATGCAGTATCTTCTGTGGTTCATTTCACTAGTTTATAAGAAAATCAAAGATCTAAAACCTGTCTGCATTAGGAATCTCTACATACTATTGCTACAAGAATGAAAGCTGTATTCTACTTTATTTTGCTGTATAATAAAGAAATTTTATACTCCCAGAATCCTCACTGCTCACAGCATAAAGACAGCAGCTAGGTATTCATCTGTTGAGCTGGCAGTTATTAACATTTTTTAAAAATTTATAAACTCAGAGTATTCTATTTGGAAGTGATTAGAATGCTAAACATGGCAGGATGTTTATGAAACTTCCTATTTTATCATTTTTTATGATGCAATTCAAAAGAATCCTAGATACCCCTTTCAAGTGAAAGTCCTAGAGTCAAAATTGCATTTGGAAAGAGATAATATTCTTGCTTAGAATTGCAATTTAAACTCATCCTAAAAGGTCTAGAAATTAAGAAAAAACCCATTAGAATATCTGATAACACTCCGGTTTTCCATGTCCAATTCTGTTGATCTCAATAATAGCAATGTGTTTGCATTTTTTTTCACCATTAATGCAGAATTTTGTTTTTTCCATAGGAGAAGAATACTGGAGAATTGCATTTAAATGGAAAAAGTCAAACAAGGTCAGATATATATACACATATAAAATTAGAGGCATTTTTTTCTATTTGTAATTGAGGTCTTACATTTGCTTTTTCTCCTCTCAAACATTTACTTTAAATTCAATTGCATTTGCTGATACTAGAACTGAAGGCAGATTTGTAGAGTGTAAGATAATGATGACACTGACTTTGGTTTGCAAAGCTAAGTGAATATGAAGTACATATACAGAATATAAAAATAGTTTCATGAAACACAGCAATACCACTCCTGTACTTAACATTTTCAAGCTCTGCTTTAAAAGGTTCATGCTTTCTTCCACATCAAACTTTGTACCAAGAGCAAGATTCATGATTGTGCCTCTGTGGATTTATTGATAGCCTTTTCTTAGCCAAACAGCACGTTTAAAACACGTATTTGACTGGAGATAACTGAAGAATAGAATGAATATTTTCTTTAGGGATGCAGGCCTATTTTTGTTGCTAGTCATCACTACTAGAGGGAGGTAAAATTTTAACAAAGGCAACACAAATATATAGGTTCTGAAAGTACCTTAGATAAGTGAGGTTTCCCATCTACAAATGTGCATGGAAATGTACAGACTCTTTTGCCCCTTTTTCACCAGGAAATTTATTGCTTTTAACCATGTGACAGCTAACACCAATTACAAACAGATACCACAATGACCTGTATAATTATGTGTTATTCTTATTTGAGGCAACATTTACCAGCAGAAACTACATCTTCTTTATTAGAAAAAAAAAGTACAATTCAAAAAACAAACAAACAAACAAACCCCTCATTAAGCTGTCAGACACAGAATGTTTTCCTCAGGTTAGCTATTAGTTGGTTTAATGAATGATATAACTCCCAATAAATCTTGTTATGCTCATATCCTCAGAGTAAATCTCTTTAATTCTCGGTATCAAATTTATTTTATGAAATGCTATTGCTCAATATTATTAAATCCTATCTCTGTCACTGTAAGCTTCATGACAGTCTTAGTGGACCATGATAGCCATGTTTCCTGGGATAAACCCCCTGATCTGTGTATCATAGAAGAGTCTCAGGTACATCAACAGGTGGGCTTGTTTTGTGAGTTTTCTTAAACTACAAATGATTTTTGGAACCCCAGGTGGCTCTGGGCATTGCTGTTATTCAGGGAGCAGGTAGTTCCACAGATTTTTGCAGGTGGTATCGTTTGGAAGCAGATAATCTGTGCAATAGGACAGTCCTATAATAGAGTTTTACCCTGCTAGCAAAAGGCCATGAGTTCTGGGTAGAGTTTGCAAAGGCTCATCAGGCTGGCTTATCTGAACCTTGATTCTCAATCTGCCTGCAGCTTTCTTCCACTAAGTTTATCTGTAGCAGAAATAATTTTATATAGAAAGCAATAACACCGGTATTCTTTGTAGAATAAGGTATTTATGACTCTAACACAAACATGTTGTTTAAAGCAATGTAGGGCTGATATGAAAACAGGGACCTTGACAAGGGAAGACAGGGCATGGTGTAGAAGTGCACTGATATGGAGTGATAGCTCAAAGGGCACTGGGGACCCATGGCTATAAACAACTCACCAATGGCCAGTTAAAGTGCAAACTTGAGCCTGGGCAAAACTGGGTTTAGGGGCAATAAAGACAGTGAAGACATCATATATAGCATATATATGTAAAAGCCACCACATACAGCAAATTTGGGTGTCATGCAAAGATGTAGATCAACGAAGAAAGAGCAATATGTAAAGGCTTATATGAAAACATACAAAAGAACCCAAAGTGTACTGTAGAGTGAGGAGAAAGAAGAAAACATGAACATGGCTGGATAGAAGATTGGCACAGGCTGCCCAGGGAAGTGGTTGAGTCACCATCCTATTTAAAAGACGTGTAGATGTGGCACTGAAGGACATGGTTTAGTGTTGGACTTGGCATTGCTGGCTTAACATTTGGACATGATAGTCTGAAAGGCCTTTCCAACCTAAATGATTCCATGATTGTATGACCGTCATAATTCCCCCTCTGACCCCACCAGAATGAAATCACCAACCTTAGGACCCACAAGTGTAGGGAAAGGATGAGCATAACACCAGGAAAAGAGGTAGAAACAATTTGAAATGTATTATTATTCTTTCTTTTTATGCAATAATTACAGCTGGGCTAATAATTACTAGACTCCCAAGATTTCAGCAATGCTAACAATACATTCTTGGCTTTATATTACACACACACACACACAGACCAATGGGGGATGGGAGAACATATTTTTCTAATGAAAGGCTTCCAAGAAGAAAATCAGAAAAACATTCACAGCTACAACACTTAGGACTGTCTATCTTGGAGATTAAGCAGTCTGCTAGCACCAAAGGGCATGAAACACAAGTTGAAACAGACTTTCATCATTTAGTAGGTGGACAGACACTTACACCATACCAAACAGCCCTGGAAAAGAGGTTGGACACATCCATTCATCATTTCCATGAGACGAAGTTTGCTGTAGCAGACAATCAAATTAATTAACTGCAGAATCTAATTTACCCAATTTCTTGCTAATTCTCCTATGGGTCGATTATTAAGCCTGACAAATTCCAGCCTGAAAGCACTTTGCTTGCAAAAAATAAAAATTAGCAACAGGAAGGGAGGGAGTGAAAACTGAGACTCCACAACAGATGTGAAAATGGTTGATTTTTTTTTTTAATCAGAAATAGAGTAAATGAAACAGCTTTGTAACAGCTTCACTCGTCTTATTTAAGCATAATATTTTGAAGGATGCAAGAGTAGTCCATAAAAAGCACTTAGTAGACCAGAAATCAATGAGTGGTGCAGAAAAGGAGTTAACGCTTCATTTTTTTGCTAGAAACCAGACACATTGAACACTCATTAAAATCTGTTTGCTGCTGGACTGAGTAGCTAGTTAACTACCATAGCCAAAGGAACTTTAAAGCCCCCACTCTCAGTTAAAAATTCTTGTCACAGTTTGGGGTTGTTCAATCTGGTCTAACCTGCCTTGTTGCCTTTCTGCTGGGCAGTGCTCTATGGCATTTCGGCTCAGGGTTAGCCCAGTGTTTGCAATATCTCCCTCTCTTTCACTGGAGAAATCACCTGCTGAGGCAACTCCAGGCTCTGCTCAGGGCTCAGAGACCTGTGATTTATTTGTTTTAGCTTTGTGAGCTCTGTAAACACATTTCACCAGGATCTAGGTCAGACAATGGTGCTTGAAGAAGAAACCACAAGCGAAAGGCCAAAGGAACTTCAGAATGATTTGCTGATCACAACCCATAGCCTGTCATGTAAGGGCTGAATCACTGAAATGCTTTCCAGTAGTCACACTGCGCCAGTTTCAAGAGTATGTACAATTTTCAGATTGCTAAAAACAGTAATTTTAATAAATTTTGAAGGGTTGGCCTCTTTTCCATTCACATGGTAGCTGCTGTTCATGGGAATGCTGCCCAGTTCTTAAATCCAAACCCTCTATGACTGCCAGGGGAGGGTTTTCATTAGACAGCCCATGTCTCTAGCCTTGCCTTTTGCTGAGCTTTTGCCAGAAACAGAAGCATTTAGCAGCTCTTGATGCTCATTACAAGATTTTTTTATCAGCTAAACTTTGACTGATGGCAGACTCATCACAGCAGACACAGGCTGCATTTACTGTGCAGCTGCATTTATTGTGAAGCTCTGACTTGTTGTGATATTGGGTTCTGCTAATTAGTCCTTAAATAAATAATCCATCTGACTGTGGACAAGATTCTAAAGCTGTCAGGACAAACCAAAGAAAACCTTTAATTACAGAAGAGCTGAGTCCTCCCTCCACAGACTTGCAGTGAATAGGAACGAGCAAGAGGATCAGAGATCAGGCAGAAATTGCAGGTACAATATTTGGATTACTTGCACAGTATGATGAGATACAGGACCAAAGTGTTTTCAGGTTTCAGTTTATGAAAGAAGACAGACCATAAATCTATTCATTTTGAAATCACAGGGGTACCATTAAGATCACATCTTTGAATCTTCAGAGGTCAGATTGGTTTACCCAATTGTGCACTGTGGTCAATATGGAGGGAGTCCTCTCATTTCTTCACTTTGGGCCTTTAAATATGCCAAACTCAGCTCTCAGTGAGCTCAAGAGTGTAGGACAGTCTTTTAAAGCATGCTTTGGACATTGCACCTGAACAAATGTTCTCTGCTGGGGTTCAGATATAGTAATCACATCTGAGCTACACAAGCCCTCTCACAAGACCTGGGTATTCATTGGATGAGTCTGAGATGGAGAACTTTCCTTTGGCAAACTATGTCACTGCTTAACAAGCTTTGCCTATAAAAAGCTGTGCTTATTACCAGTTGAGAATATTTCTAGAAGATTAACTTGAGAAACGTACATAGGAATAAAAGGTGATTTCTTTCCCATTTCACCCCTGTTTGTTGACTTCATGATTTATCTTTTTAATTCCCACTTGAGCTAGACAAAATTAGAACTCCTCACCAAAACCAAAATAGAAAAACCAAATAGATTTGGGAGAAAACTCTAAAATATTTCATCTTCCTCTGTTCATTGAGAAATCCCCAAAAATCATGACACAGGTCATTATCTCATGACTATATTAATAAGGCATAAGGACTGCAGTCCATATCTGAACTACACCACAATCCTATGACAAACACTGAACATGGTTCAAGGAAATCTTAATGATAGCAAATCCACTGCATTATGGAATAAACTCAATTAACTCTAATGTTGAAAACAAAAAACCAATATTTAATTTTCTCATTAGAAACACCTGGCTCACTGATTTTCAGCCTTGACTTCCATCTCCTGGAATCTCTTATCCAGAGACAAGAAAGATTCTGCTATATAGAAATACAGTCCCTTCAGGTTTGTATTTTAGGTACACTTAGTCATGTCCCCTCGGATTTTCATTTCCCTAATGCTTTTTGAAATATTATCAATAAAAAAAGGCTATTTGTAAAACCAAGTTGAGTTCTTCCTTGAGTTGACAAAAAACTTCAAAACACCACTTTTCTTTTAACAGGTCTGTACAGAGTCCCTGGAGGTCCGGACCCACCCCTTTTGAAGACAGTGGTAATGCTCTCATTGACTTCACAGGGTCCAGCTCAGGATCTGTGTGGTTGCAAACCACAGACCCTAGTCCAGATGCAGATCAAGGAATCACACAGTTCAGGCACAGTGGATTCAGGCTCATATGAATACAAGGAGCCACTGTCTTGCTGATCTCTGGCAGAAACAGCAGGACATGGCTGTTTGGCCACCCCTGCAAAAACTGTCTCATAAAACACCCACTAACATCAGATGCCAGGGGGAGTTTATGGCATAACACGGACTCCTCATGTAGAAAAACAAGATTTTTTTTTTTTTATCACTTAAAGTGTTGTTATTTTTTTACAGCTCTGGGCTGCCTAGATGACTAACTCTTCACAACTAAACTAAAGCTATATCATAACATTGTTCCGGCAGCTTCTGAAATTTTAAAAGGCAAAGCTGATTGAAATGCTAAATCTGAAAACCAAATCCCAGTCCCATAAGAAGATGGTGAGAGGTGATTAAAAAGCAAGTCAGTTGAAGATGAATGTTGGTTTGAATTGGAGGTGAAAAAGCAGCAGCTTTTGGATATGAAGTGACAAAGGTGCTCTGGCATATATATGTAAAAGTATATATGTATATGCTATACCTTGTTCATGCTGACGTGCAGGGCTGGCCATGGTCCAACTACCTTCACACTCTCCGTTTCTATTTTCTTCAGATGAGAAGTTTCATCATAAAGAAGGGGAAGTCCTGAGCTCAGTTCTAAAAGGATGCCCAAAAGAAAGAAAGAAAAAAATACAGTCTGAAGGGAGGCTACAGAAGAACTGCAGAGCAAGACACTCAACTGCATTTGAAGAGACAGCACTTGGCAAAGCATCTTCTTTGTAAGACCCTCTAAAATGTTTCATAATTATGCCTGTTGGGTCACTTTCCCTTTTTCTATTTAGCAAACAATGCCTCCCCCTCCTCCTTCTCACCCATCCTTTCATTTCAGCAGAGCTTTTGCCAGATTTTTGTAGATATTTCTCTCCTTACCTCCCCACCGCCTCTACCCCCTCTATATTCTAAAACTTAGATGACACCAGAGAGATTATTTAGGCAGCCAAGGTGCCACTCTCAAAACATGTGATGTGTAAAGAGATCAGAGTATAGATTTTGGCTTCTCTCAGACATCTTTATTTATATACCAGTCTCTTTAAGACTGTTGTCAGGAATTTGCTGTGCTTTGTCAACAGAGATTTTGAGCAAGCCATTGACACGGAAAGACAAGGAAAAATACTTTTTCAGACAGTCCTGAAAGGTCTCTGCCATCATGTTGGGGATGGTGTGGCATCTATATACATATTTTCAAGTACTCTGAGAAAAATAAACTTAATCATATGATGATTTAATGAATCTCTGTGTCCTCCTGTATTTCTTTTTGCTGTGGATTCTAGATAATAACAGTTGGGAACTATCCAGTTCTGTGGAGTCTGATTCAAAGCCTACTGAAATCAATAAAAACCTTGCACTGACTGCAGTTTGGTTTGGATCACGTTCTTAAGCTGTCCTAAGAATATTAAATATTACTCACTCAAGATCTAATTCTACAGCTGTTTAAATATACATTAAAGGCTTTGCTGACTAGAGAAAAATTGCTAAAACCAGCTTATAAGGATATAAGCAAAAAGCTGGTTTTGGCATTAGTGAAACATTATCAGACCCTGAGGTAATAATGTCCTAGAAAGGGTTACAATATCAGCATTGACCTCCTCTTGGTGGTCTTTCATCACAAGTTAGTGCTGCCAGAGTTCAGAATTTCTCAGATCACAGCTGCTTCTGTGTGTGTAAGACTGTGAAACTGCCTGATACCCTGGGAATAAATTACCACAGCCATAAAATCAGACATGAAGATGGGGAATTTTTTGGAAGAAACAGAATCATTATATTTTCCTCCTAAGAAAGCAAATAAGGGGGGGAGGGGGAGAAGTGCCTTATTTAAATTATTCAAGTTTGCTATTATTTTAATCTGATTTTTAAGCTGAGGGATTTTTTTTGGTTGTTTAAAGGGAGAGTTCTGGAAGGCAAGCAGGCCAGTTTATCCTTTTAACTCAACCTCAAAAATAAACAAAAGAAAAGGCAAAAAACTGAATTCCTACAAAACGCATAAATTTCCTGAGTCAGCATTAAGTCCTGGCAAACCCAGACTTTCATTCCAAGAAAGGCTCTGGCAGCACCGTGGTTTTTCAAAGTGCTGTTTTCAGCCTGAAACTCAGTCTGTGTTAGACCATTCTCTGCTCAGGGTTAGGCAAGGTCTTTTGTAGCGAGCTGCTCAGGAATAAAGGATACCTTTTTTTGAAGTGATAAGCTGCAAGCTCAGCCCAGAGTTAAAGAGGCAACCTGGGTCCCCTCTTCCCGTTCCTCATTTGCTGTCACAAAAATTCTGTGAGCTGCACTGCCTACGTGTTGGCATCTGCTCCCAGGGGTAGCCCCAGCTGCTGCCTGTGAATCTGCTCATGTGCACCTGGTAATCCCTGCACGACCCTGCCATGCCAATTCGGCTCAGCAAGCAGCCCACCCTCTCTTCCCTGTAGGGCCAACTGCTGCTGCACAGAGTGGGACTGGGGCTCTGGGATACGCTGGGGGAAGATGTGCTGCACCACAAGATGTGATCTGTGTGCATTAGCTTTGAGGTGAAGAGTAGCACGGCGAGTACAAGAATCAGGGTGGATGCAGGAAAACAACACCTTCTGCTGAGCTGCCTTCATAAACACACACGTCAGATTTGTTTCACTGGATTTCACTTCCTCCAGTAATTGAAGTAGACAAATTACTTGGAATGTGAAAAATCAGGCAGGTCTGGCCCGGGTTTGTTGTCTGTTTGTTTCTGTAACAAAGTCCTGTACTGTGTGTGTGCTGGGAAACATGCTCTAGTGTTTAAAGGAACCCTGGCTGGGCACGTTGTTGTTTCCCTCTCTCCTACCTATGTCCCACTAATTGCACTGGAATTTTGGCATTTCTCAGAATAGATGGAAGTGGCAGAAAGGCAGATGCTTTCTCCCTCTCTCAGCCTGATGGTGGGTGCATATCAGCCGGTCAGTCCATGCTCCATTTCAGCTGAATTCAAAAGCATCCCAGAGCTCAGTGATTATTCCAATCCCTAGCAACTGGAACAAGTCACAAAACACCTGTGGTCCCATGGAAGAGCACAAGGTAGGTTAAGTGCTGGTGTCACCTCTGTCAGCCTTATGGGGAAGTTTCTGCTAGGATAGCATATTTGCCCCATGAGACCTTTTTGCTCTTCAGGCATTTCCACTTGAGATATTTTGGTCACAAGCACCTTCTTTCCTGAGAGTGTCCCCAGTTTAGTGACCACTTACTTCCTAGAAACACTTTCCTAGCACTGGTCTTTCCACACAGCCCAGAGCCAGACATCAGTCCCCCATGTCCTCATGTTCCTGAGGCAGACTGCTGATAGTGTTTCCTCTCTGCCTGATTTTTTCTTATCCCACACACTGTGCCATGTCCCTGATAAACAGCCAATGGCCAGCATGCTCCTAACCATTTCAGTACATGCACTGTGAACCTTTCCCACAGGCGCTCTACAAGAGTTTTCTCAGCTGAAATAGCCTGAGCAGCATTTTAATGAAACCATTAAAAACAAACCAACCCTAGTCCCTTGTGCACCAACCTTGAAAAGGCACTTAGACCCGTCACCTCAAGCTGCAAATGAGTAATTCTGATTCTGTTTTAAGGGAAGTGCTCCTACTCAGACTGCCACTGCTCTCACAGCATAAACATGCCAGATATAACCATGGACTGGCTTCTCAAGGGAAATCATCTTTGCACCTCCAGCCAGATGCACAGGTGCAACAGAGGATCGGCAATGGTTTGCAGTGGGGCAGCATGGCAGCATTAAGACACCCAGCACACGGCATGCACAGCTTCCTCAATGGCTCAGCTGGGAGCAGTCAGCATGGCTGCACCACAGCCTGCCCTTGGAGGCGTCCCATCCCTTTCCACTCCCTTAGAGAAGCTGGGAATTGGCATTCGGTGCTACTGGCATTGGGCAGGAACCAGCAGTGATTCTCTTCTTCTGCATCAAATAGTTACTGTGGACCAGTCTGCAGCAGACAAGGTGAAGAGAAAGGTAAATCTGTCTCCAGCAACAGGTGCCATACATGCCTTGGCTTCTGAAGTCCCCTTCAAAGCATGGCAGCTGCCAGACAGGCCATGGAGGCTGCCCCCACCACCAGGGCCAGGTTTGGGAGAGAGGGCTCACTCTCCCCATGTCTGGGGGAGCACATGGAGCCTCCTGGGCCCCAGTTTCATCTCACAGGTAACACTCACTGGGCACAAAGAGAACTGCTCCTGATGTTGCCCTTGTGCTCTTCCAGGCTTTTTCTAAGGTTATTTCTGCAATAAGGAAAAGCAGGAAAGCTGTGTGACCTGAGAGGAGACAGAGTGCTGGAATAAACACCCTGTGCTGTGTGTTTTTTGCTGTTTCTTTAATTACCTGCTGTCGTGCCGGTGGGCCCATGGCAGGGCTGTGGGGAGCTGGAGAGCAGCAGCCCTGCAGGGGCCGAAGGTGGGGCACTGGGAGTCGGACATGGAATTGTGGGCTGGATGGGGGAGCCCCGAGGAGGGGGTCGGGGGAAGCAGGGCCAGCAGTGCCCTCTGGGTCAGGACACTCAGCAGCAGCATAGCTGGCTCTGAATGAATTTCCTGGCATGCTCCAGCTCTAATTTGGGAAAGGAAAATATGGGCTGGCACACCCCCCAGAAAGGTCACTGCCTCCCACAATGCCAGGCTGCCAGCCGGGAGAGGTTTTCCAACACAGCCTTGCCAGCATCCCCCCACCACCCGCACCCAGCCTGGCACCCAGGGCGGCCCCGCCACCGACCCAGCAGGTGCAGGGCCAGGGCAGCCCCATTCCAGGACAGCCTGCACCTCCCTCCTGCATGGTGCAGAGCAGGGCCGAGGTGCACACACCTGCCAGTGGCACAGGAGCATCCAGCAGCCTGCTCTGGGCCCCCAGGCAGGGGGTGGCCATGCTCCGTGTCAGCCCCATGTGCTTCCCAGCATGAAGGCACGCTGGAGTGCAGTGCACAGTCAGTGGAAAACAACACATCTTCTTGGAGGTTGCTCCTAAGGGAGTAGCTTCATTGAAAGCCCCAGGAAGCAAGTCGTATTGCTGCTTAAGATTCCTTCCTTAAATGTCTACAATGCCGTCCATTTTATCTCTTGAGCTTCTCTCGTAAAAACTATCACATTCTCTTGGGGAAAGAAAAGGAAAGAAAATGTTTCTGATCTTCTGAAACAAAGTCTGATTAAAGTCCTTGTCCAGACAGATACCTGAGCAATACTGCTGAGGTTGCAGTCAGGATCACCCAGTTCAGTCCAAGACCCTGGTTTCAGGAATTTGAAAATTGTCAGATTAACTGACCAGGGTGAAAGGTTCCATAATGGATAGCTATCTCAGGGTCATTTACAGAAGGCAAAAACTGGGCAAGGGAAGAACTCATTTTTTCCTAGAGACAAGGAATATAATAGATCATATCTTGTTTTGCCCAGCATCTGGCATTCTTACACAGCTTCAGCATCTGCCACACTGCAGAGTGCAGAGACTGTAAATGTGGAGAGCAGGAAGAAGGACTGCTCAATGACAGGGATGCTTCTCTTCCAGTTCCTGTGTAAACCTACAAATATTTGGCCAAGCTCTGTACCCTTAAAAATGCCTGCACACGTTCAACAGTGGAGACTTCCACCCAAACTTCCCAAGACTGCATCAGGAATGGATAGGCTTCTCTCCTCAATGCTTTCTACAAGCAAAGAATCTCTCCACTAAGGAAGCAAGAATATTCCAGTCTTGGTAGCTAAAGCTTGCAATTGTTCCCATTACCCAAACTAAGAGCAAGATGCTGTATGTCCAATGTTCCAAAATTTCTGCTGCCTGTGCCCAGACATGAAAACAAGATCCAAACAATGTGGGCTGAGGGCCAGCTGGACAGATCAGCAAGAGACAATAGCAGATGAGGGTAGGTTTGTGAAACTATACAAACAAATAGTAATAACCAAAAAGGAGCCTGTGCCAAGTGATTAGAGTCAGTATCTGTGACTAATGGGGTATTTGTTCAGCTATGGAACACCCACCTAACCAAATCCCACAACCCTGTAGCAAACCAAGGAAATTGAAAATCTTGTCTCATTTGCACATGCTACAAAGCTAGTGAATATAAACAGGAAGCACATTCTTCAAGGAGGAAAACCAAAATGCACACAGTTTTGTTTTCTTCCCTTTGCCTCCTTGCCCAAGACAAACCTGAAAGCAGCACAGTCACTGCAGTGGACTTACTGGTTGGGTTTGGAACTGCAGAAACAATGTCCTTGCTTTCGGGGGCAAGGGCACCATAATTGGCGTGGTGGTGGTGATGCCGATGGTGGTGGTGGTGCCTCGCAGCCATTTTTGTGGTGTATGGAGTTCCACCATTCTCCTCAATGTTGAACGGGTGCAGGTCGCTGTTGTTCAGTGGATAGCTACAAAATAAATTCAGTTCAAATTAGAGCGGTAAACAGTAGCACCAATTGTACTTTTGGAGAGACAGAATGAAAACTTTCTTGGGAAAAATGCACAGCTTTTTTGTAAATAAAAATTTTAATGAGGTATATTCCAGATCTTTACAGTTTTCTATCTCTGTGAGATTTATCTGATGAGGAAAAATGATGCCTCTGCTTGTTGGTATGACTTTAAGATCAGAAATATTTTTGATTTTACAAACTACACAATCTCTGCTAGACTTCTTCCTGGGAAATGAAAATCATCAAGCAGAAAACAATAACTCCTTTAAAGTGAAATTGTCCGAAAAGCAGACCAAGGAACAGTCTCAGAGTAACACTACATTCCTGAGAATGATCCGGTCTCTAAATTTATGGTGCAAAATAGCTATATAAAAAAATTCTGACTTAGGGAAAAAATTGAGAAATAAAGCATTCTACAGATAACAACATACAAAATAGCACTTAATCAAAAAGGAATTGTACCTGTGCTAGTATAACTAGTTTGGGTTTTGGTGGGGGTTTTTTGCATGTGTTTAGTTAGGAGATAAACCATCGTCAGTCTACAATAGTTGGCAAATGGGGACACATTGACATTTTAATTCATCATCTCTAACTGAGAGGTGACAAATGACACTGCTGCTTTTCGTCATTAGCTTTAACTGATGCTGTTTCAGTTTATTGTTTGAAATTACAATGAATTTCTAGAAGTGGTATTTTCTCTCCATTCCAGCAACCAAAAAAGATTGAGATAATTCAACACAGATATTGCAAATGACTTGAATGTGCTTTTCTCAGAGGAGTGCTTAAAATTTTTATAAAGTTTTAACTTATTCTATAGTAGTGCATTAGACAGTAGTGGCAGTAAATCAATCCATTTCAACAAAAGATGAATCCCCTGCCTGTTTGAAATATGCTAAAGAAATTATATCTTCAGCTGCATGGATTTTCAGTTTTGCTTTTATTAAAAAAACCTGACAACATGCAATGAAGGCAAATGGAATAATTAAAGAAACAATGAATAAATTATACCTAAGATACCTGCTACATATGTTCTCTGCAGATTACTCTGTGATTCAAAGCAAAATTAACCAGTCATCTGCAAATAAACACATCTGTATAATTTCCAAAGTTATACTGAAACACGCAGCTTGGTACGTCATTAAAAACCACTGTCTTCTTAGTAACAGCTTCAAACAACGTGAGGTTTCTGACTGGGTACTAATTGAATAATACTTTTATGCTGGTTACTTTTTGAAAGCAGGAGGGGGGAAGGGGAATGTTGTGTATATTAATCTTGGCAGGTTCCCGGCATGAAGCAACCACTGCCAATAAAGGCACTTCTGATGCCTGTTTTGCCTTAAGGAAACAATACAAATAGGTGTCTGATCCACAGGGGACAGCTTTTGTGAGCTCAGATAATCCAGGACTGGTCTGTCTTTTCAAACTGCACTATATCTTTACTGCTATAATCAAATCAAGCAAGTGCCTACAGGGGAGAAAATGGTACAGGCTAATGAGATTGCACACTAATTGTAGCAGCTCTCCTGCACTTTCCCTTCAAGGGCCTTGGATTGGAGTAACATTTTTTGATTGAGAGAATAGGTGGTTTTATTTGCATGGTTAAAACCCAGCTGTGAAATAAGATAAGTTTGGGGCTGGAGCCTCAGCACATTTTTTTAAATTTTTTTTTCCCATCTGATTAAATTTTTTTCAAGACACAAAATCCTGTGTGTTGGGAGTTTCATTTCACCCACTGGCAGGCTGGTTTAGAAAATTTTCAATTGGTCTTTTTAAAATGAATCATACCAAATTCCTACACTGACTCCTTATACTGCTATGGGCCCAAGGTATCTTCCATGCTCAAATGAGGAGCTGATCGCCTGAACAAGCCAACTGAATTGACCTCTGGCATGAGGGCAAAAGTGCACCAAATTCTTTAGATGTATTTCTTGACTGTCCAGAGAGGAGAGTAACATGTAAAATGTAAAATACAGGGAGGCCATTACATCAAAGAAGTAAAGAGCTAGCCCAGCAAAGCTGATGTTCAGCTATGCACTGAAATCCTTGAGGACAGCAGGTCCTGAAGCTCCACACTGAGTGTCACTACCCAGGCAGGGTGCCCTGATGTGAAATCCCATGCTCAAATTGTCAGCCCACATAAAAGCGTGTGGCCATCTGCACTCTGCCAGGGCTGACAGCAACTCAGAGATATCGAGGAAAACTCATCTCAGGGTCAGCCAGCTCTTGCACTTCTGATGTATATGAGGCTGGGCATTTGCACAGATGCCCTCACTACCAAGGAGTTACTGAACAATCAGAAACAATAGGTCTTGCAACAACCCCAGACCCTGCCAACTAGAAAAGCTGAGAGTTGCCAAACAAAAATATAGGTAGTTCAAATCCCTTTTCTGTGTACTCTCTCATATATATTTTTGGGGCATATTAGGTATCTTACTGTAGTTTCTACAAGGTGACATCATTATTATCATTTCATATCATGTTTTTCACTTTTCTGTTCTTCCACTGTCTTAAATATAGCGACTTGATACTTTACCACTCAATGCATCCTTTTGTTGCTTTGTGTCCTATTGCTTACTTCTATCTAGCTTACCTGAAAACATGCTCATATGCCCTTCCCAATCTATTGATGTAAATAAATCACTACTTTCAGTGAACCAACTTTTTGAACATATTTTAAAGTATTCATACTCCTGACCTCCAGGAATTGTTACTTGCTCCCCAGACATCAAATAATGCTCTCAGACCACGTGCATTTTATGGACAGATTGTAGTTTTCATCCTTTCTCTTGCACCTGCCTTCCGGCCATCCTAGAATGCCAATATCACACCTTTGGTTTACTTTTTAAACATCAGTTGGCTGTCCTGCAGGTTTCCTCTTTCTCTGCTGTTATTTACCTGTGTGGCTTTCTCAATAAGCTCCAGCTGTTTCCTATACAGACAGATCCTGTCCTTCAAGGAAAATGAGGCAAGGCCCTACAGGCAAGCGTGCAAAGGAAGCAAACATTTCTTTCTTCTTTGTCCCTTGCCCAGGAGAAAGCGCTCCTGAGGATTCAGTTTCTGGAGGCTGAACATTCAAGAAAACCACTCGGTATTCACAAGAAGGTTAGTACTACCTTTAGCCTCAAATTCACATTAATTACTTCCTTCTGACCAAAAAGGCAGAACATTGAGAACAAGGTAAATAGCACATATCTACTAATTTCCTTTTCTATTTTACAATTTTCATTTACATTTCTAGTCCTCTGTCTCAGTTTTACGCTCCTCACACTTTACCCGAAAATCTATTTTCAGCTGACATTTCATGTGCTCCAGTCATGCACTGCTTTACCAAATTACATCTCTAGGGTACAATTCACACACAAGCGTTAAGAGGACATAGGAAAATGGGGTACAGAAAAGTTTTAGAAAGCCTTCAAAATCAAAGTATGTGGGCCTGTGTTACCTGAGCTGAACCTCCAACACCATCACTAGCAGAGTTATCATGACCCTCCTGTGCAATCGATTTCAGTGTCTCAGCATGTCCACGCTTGTTTATTCTGTCTCCTTTACTGCAATTTAAGACACTCTTTTATCTCCCATTCACCACAGACACAGTGAGAAGGTTATTTCTTGCTATAGAAACCTGTGTTTTTGAAAATATCCCTTTACATCTCCCCTCGGGAACTGAGGAGCTCTGAATTCCTGTTGCCCCTCACAGGTCACACATTCCCTACAGCTCTGAGACATCTCACCATCCCTGTCCTCCCAGCTGCCCCCTGCTCTGCTTCCAACATGTGCTGCTCAGAACTGGACACCCCATTCCGGCTGAGGCCTTGCAAAGTCGTTTCAGAGAGGAAGGGTTGCTTCCCATGTCCAGGATTTACTCCTGTTTATACATTGGAACCTGGCATTTTTCTATACAGCCTGGGATTGTTGACTCATGTTCAACGTGTGATGCTCAAGAACATCAGATCCTTTCCTAACCCGGCCAAGTTTCCAGCCCCACAACCTCAGCTGTGACACATTACTCCTACCTAACAGCACAAACATTCCTCCCTGATGTGCCAGGATCAATACCTGATCAGGACTTTTCTCTCATCCATGACAGGCCCAGTATGCAAGGACTCCCATTTTGGTGTAACCCATGAGTGACAAGGATTTTTTTTAAAAAACATAATTGCCTTTCCATGCCATCCTCCCAGCTGCCATCCTCAGTCTCCTGTAGAACATAACTCTGCAGCTCTGCAGAAACATCTTCCACCTGTGTCCCAGAGCAGGCTCACTCCTGCACCTGCCCATGCCCCTTTCCCTACTCTTCCTCTAGACATCTTCCACCTGTCTGAAGTTACACTTGGAGAGCAAATGGTGGGGCTTTCTTCTCTCCTCTCTACGGGGAGGTTGGAGGGGCAATAGCAGAAAGCAGGCTCAAACTGTTGTGCCTTGTGGATGACTGAGAGTTTAAGAGTTTAAACCTTCCCTACCATAGCTGAACAGTAGTTTAAAAAAATCCCAGGCTTCTAGGTCAGGTTGTGATAAGTAACCTTCAAGAGTTACCACACCCACATCTATTTGCTCTGAACATTCCTCCTGCACCAAACCACTGCAATTTTCCAGTATTTAAAAATCCTCAAACTTTCCACAAACATCTTTAGAATTGCTCTCAATCCTCCCCCGTCTGTAGCTTGGAGCAAGCCTGGTAGTGATTTGCACAGGTTTTGGCAGCAAAAATTCACACTGCTGGTGTTGTACTGAATGTGCTCAGAGATGTATCACCCATTGCTGTATTACAATAACTTCTCCAACATCAAAATGGGCTTTAGATGTGCTCCCAAATGGCAGCCAGGGGAAGTGTTGCAGTGCTTGTTAACATATATATGTATTAATGTGTACGTAATGAAAGCAGCCATGGCATGTGAAACTTCAGCGTGGCAGCCAGGAGAGGAGACTTAACAGCTATGCTAAACCAAACATTCATTTTTGGGTTTAGTATCTCCCTTTTCTGGGAGGAAGGAGGTTAGATTCTGGGTTAATTCCCAGCCCATGCCTCAGAAGCAGTTAAAAACAAACAAACAAACAAAAACCACAATGAAATTTCAGCTAAACTTCCTTTAATCATATTTAGAATCTCACATACCACTTGTTTTGCCAAAGCATGGCAAGTGGCACATAGAGAGAAGGAATTTTGCATTCTCTGAAAATGTCCCTGTGGAAAGAAGAGGAAATGGGGGGATAGGAAGAAGGCAGCACATGTGAGCATCACTTAATGGCCACGGCTGTTGGACAGAAGCAAAAGACTTGACCCAGCATTACATGAGAAGGGAACACAGACCACAGCACAACAACTGCAATAAGAGAGAGGGTGAACTTCCGTTTTGCATCCAAGGACCAGGACATATAAAAGCAATGAGTATTCCTAAGTAAAGGAAAACTAAAACCAAACCTATGTTGTTTTTTCTTCCTGCACCATGTAACCAAGATCTCTTTGCTGGCCAGAACTGGCTTTGTGAGCTGTGTGAAGTGTAACTAAAGCTAACAGTGTGGTTACACTTCCATGCTCTGCTCTGACACCAGGATAATCACAGCTGGCCCATTTGCTTCCTTCAGGGAAGGCATAGAAAACTGTGTTGCAGATTTCTTTCCCTGCTGCCAGGGATGATCTAGAGTCTCCATCCAATCCTAGGGACACCTCAGAAAGCAGAGCAGGCAGTCAGCAGCCTTCTCCCAGACAATCTTGAAATTAAAGAGAAAATTATAATAGGGAAACAATATATTAATAAATGGTGATGGAAGTCTGCTGTAGCATACAAGATGCTGAACCAAGTTTTGAAGCAATACTAATCTGTAATTCTCCACAAGAAGAATAAAGCCTGCAGCAAAGCATGTTCTAATAAAATACCAAGGAACAAATCTTGACTCGAAAAAGACACTGTCCTCATAGATTTCACATTATCTGCATAAAGATCATTAAGAAAAAACTATCTTGCAAAACTGTCATGCAAAATATGGCCACTGGGGAACTAAGCGTGCTTTTCTCCATTTACAAATGCTTTTAATTAACACTAACAAAAGCTAATGATATTTAATCACCTGACAAAAAAATTCATTGTCCCAGATGTCCTTGTCGATGAGAAAACTGTGCAAAGCAGACATAAAATTTTCTAAGACCAATGAGTTCCTCCCTCAAGTCTGCTCTCCTCCACTTTCAGACAGAGGCAATGCATTGTTGTCCTTAGGAAATAAAACAACTTAGTGTGGCTAATCCAAGTAAGGTTAAAACAGGGGCAAAGCCAAGCATGGAACTCTGGCCTCTGAGGCAACAGCTGATCTCAGATTGCTAGCCATGGTACATCTCTTCCCACCACTTAACCCATTAAATAACTCATGTCCTGTGAGCGAAGCACATCCCTGTCTCATCTCCACTGTGCTCAGTTTCACACTGCTGCCAAAGGATGCGAGAGAAGCAGGCACAGGCCTGAGGCTTAGCTAAGAGAGGAGAACACCAGAAATCATAAGATGCAAGAGAAGTTGCTGGACATAAAAGATGAAGGCAAAAGCAGCTAAAAAAATGCTATAGAGCATGCCCAGAAGGATTGCTGGAATTCACAGGTAGGGATACATGAGCAATGGCCAAACATCACAGAGCTCTGAAGGGGAAATATCAGGGTCTTTTGGTGCAACGCCAGCACTGTCTAGGAAACTGTATCAGTAACTGTGTAAGGACCAAACTACCGTGGTAGCCTTGGGACATTTGAGTATGGACTTAGCAAAACCAGGAGCAATGCAAGGAAAAAGCAGGGGTAACTGCGAGGAGACAAGAGGAAGGAAAGAGGTGAATGCATGTGCAGGATGACTAATTCAGAGTGCACGTGAGAAAGGTGAGAAAAGTGACCAGCCCCATGTAAGCAAGCTGCTGGTCAGTCAGCCTGGCTGGCCAAGCTCCCATCACCTCAGTCCAGGGCATCTTCTCAGCTGTAGTCCTATTTTCTGTGGAGGTGTATGCATCGAGGATGGAGCTCTCTGTGCTGCCCCACCTTTGTGAGCTGCTGTTTGCATATGCAGGTGCTGCTCAAGGTGCTGTCCTTCACCTCCTCTGCTCCTTGCCAAGGCTGGCTGAGTGGGTGCTCCCTGAGCATTTCATCTCTGGAATGAATGCTCAGCATCTCATCCTGGGCTGTGAAGCCAGGAACTACAGCAGCCTTGAATCTAGCAGATTATAAAAGTGTAATCCCTTTAGCCTTGAAGCCAATCCACTGTATTCGGTTTCCCTTAACAACATGCTCCCACCTTACAAAATCTTCTGTCTCCATTCTTACTAAGCTGAAATTCCTTGGGGAAAAAAATTGTTTTAAAAGAAATTAACCAAACCGTGTAATTTTCATGCTTCTAAATTATGCTGATTCTGAATTCTGCTAATGCTTTACAAAAATTATGCTGTCTTGCGAACTTTCAGTAATTTGCCATAACTTTAAAGTCCAGTGTGAACACGACCAACTCCATTGCCACACAAATCACTTCTTTTTAGGCTATAGATTTTTGTCCTTTTTAAAAGACAGTATTAGCAGGTAAAAGTAGTACAAAATCACTCAGCACAGTAAGGCCTCTCTTAATTACATACTTACAACTTCTGCCCTATCTCTGGTCAGGTTCTCACTTCAATACTTGAGCAACTCATCTGACTTTACAGCAGGAAACTGTTCATCTTACCTTTAAAGCCATTTTCACAGGTTTTTTTTTAAGTCAGAAATTGAGAATGAGACACACATATTAAATGCAACCATTGAAACTGAAAATGAATAATAACAAACAAAGGCCTCCTGGGCTCAAAATTATGATACAGAAGTAGCATCCAATTTTACATTCAAGTTCCTTGAAGTTTGCTTCAAATCAGCCTTGCTACAGATTCAGAGAGCCCCAGGTACTGAAGACACATATGCTGAAATCACAAAGCTCCCTTGCTGCTTTCATTCCTCTCCATTCTCAGAGTTTCTAGCAGAAACCATTGCTTTTCATTCTCAAGTTCCTTTCTTTTGCACATAGCACTGTAAAACTGCTTCTCCTAAACTCTTTAGTAGAGATTTTTGTTTGCCTGACCCATTTTTTCCTGAGCTCTTCTTTCCTGTTTGACTCCTATTTTCCTACTGATGAGAAAGACTCGGCTCAGAGGCACAGTGATGCTGGCTCTGCTGCTCGCCAGCAAGGTCTGAATATTCAGGGCCTTGGCCCCTGGAGATGAAAAGGAACAGCCCCTCTGTCATCTGTTTAGGTACTGAGTTCATTACTATGCAATTACACAATTAAGAGAGCACTGGAGATTCATTAATGATTTGTATTTCTACTTCTCTAAGGAAGACAAAATTGCAGGAATTGGTAATGGCAGGTAAGCTACTGTGATTATAACTCCAGCACAGAGTGTTATGGGTTTAGGGAGGAAAAAGTAACTTATAAATAATTAGCTGCTTATCCGGAGTTTAATTGCATTAGATCAGTACACTTCCTACTTCTAA